AATTTATGAAATTAACAATAAAATTATATTTCTAAAATTGATATTGTGACAGGTGTTTCCTATTGGCCTTTAGAAATTCTCAAAATAGAAGCGAGCGGCGCAAAAAGAGAGATAGAAGAGTCGGATCTCAAGATCAGACCGAATCCGACGATATCCCCATTAAACCCACGAAATTTCCAGAGTTTTCTCTTAATATTCGCTTAATACCTTGATATATCCCGCTTAATATTTGATATCCATCTCATTCCTCCTTTATTACTCGTTATCCCCTTAATCTACACAAATCCCCAGAAATAATATTATCCATTCATTTTCAACTCGGATTCAACATGGATCGTGTGCGTATCATGGAATTTCGGCGTATTAAGTGGGATATAGGCGGATTCACTAAAATAATTGGGAGCATTTGTTTTTTCACTGGTAGAATTTGGGAGAATTTAACTGGGAGAATTTGTATTTCTGTTAATAAGTAAAAATTTTATACAAAAATTGAGGTTATTATTGTAAAAACATTAATTTTGGTTAATTGAATATTTGGAAATATAAATTTAACCTATAGCATTCTTAAAAAATAGTTAATTTTTAGAACTGTTGACAAATAGTTTACTAGAAATAAAATTATAGCTTAAATTAATAAAAAATGGGAATATATTTTGATTAAAAAAGTTAAAGCAATAATTTATTTATTCATTGGGTAAGTAATATAGACATCTGTTTAAGGGTCACAAAAACATATGAACGTCAATCTTTATCCCCAATAAAAACTTTTGAATTATAAAAAATAAAATAAAAGTACATTTTAATAAAAATACAAATTGAGTTATATGTGTATATCAAACATCCAAACAGGGATGTTCGAGATTCTGAAATCTTATTGAGAAGAATGCCTACGTAATGAACATTTGTTATGCTTCGCTTTGATCACCCCATAAAAATTCGCATATATAAATACGAAATCAAATAGTCATTATTAGGGAATGGCAAAACATACAATTGCATATTTTTCGGTGCATATATTTGCGCATATTGTGGGATTTTTAGTGGTTACTTCGCCATTCCCTAGCTATTATCTTCTTATAAGATTTTCTGTTGAATTTTAATAAAAATGTGAACTGTTTGTTTTATAACTATATTTTCTGACTCTAATTCTTTCCACAATCACATCGATCACGAAAAATATTACGTAAATTCTATAATTTTAAAATACTAAATGTCATTTAATTAAAAAAAAAATGTTCCTAAAAAGAAAAGAAATATTATTAGTAAATGTAAATAATTTTAAGTAACTTGGTAATTTAATTATATCAAAATTTGACATTGATAGTATATAACTATATTAAAATAATTAACCAAAGTTTTATCGAAATAAATTAAATAACAATTTATTCAAATATAACTTATTTAAATAAAATTAAAAAATAAATATTTTAAAATTAAATTTAGCTAGAATTAAATTAAAAATACGAAGAAATATCAATTTTTTTAATTATTTATATTTTAAAATTAATTTAAAACTTTTAAAAATAATTAAATATTTTAAATTTAATTAATAAATAAAAAAATGTTTCACAAAATCTGATGTGGAATTTTTAAGTCTAAATAAGAAACTACATATTATTTATTTATGTTTTAGCTTTATTGGGTTTTGAAAATCTTTCAATATACACTGCGTTCCAAAAGTATATGCACCCCTAGTTTTTTGATTTTTTATTCATTTTTCTTTGTTATTTCGATTAGATTTTTTGTCTATTTAATCTTCTAGATAAATGTGTAAGTTTAAACTAAAAAATAAAAATATCCCATATCAGTTCATTTTTTTATCACCAATTCTTCAATTATTCACTGTTCCAAAAGTATATGCACCCTCCTCAAAAAATTTTATTTTGCAATCAAAAAATCCAAAAAAATTTCTCTAAAGATATCTATCAATATAGATAAGAAATACAAAAGAAACGAAGTTCTAATATACTTCCATCATTGAGATCTTGAATCCAGAAAATCAACGGAAAACAGGGGGTAGACGTCTTTAAAAAATATTTTCGACCCCTTACAGGTAAAATAAAAATTTTATTTTAGGCTTATTTGAAAGCCCTTGAAATTTGCTACAAGATAGCATTAATTTTATTTTCCGAAAAAAATTCAACTGTAAGACCTAATGTGATAAACTTTCAGGTCATAAACCGAACAAAGAATAGAAACGAAAACCAATAAAATGAATTTATATTTATTTTGTATTAATTAATTAATTTAATTAAACATTAGAATTTTTAAAATATTTTTTGGAAATAAATTAGATAACTAGAATAAATTTGTAGAATTAATTAAAAACAAAATTATATTTCTAAAATGAATTTTGTAACAGGTGTTTCCTATATTTATCTTTTAATTTTTGAATAAAATTAATTTTTTTTCATCAAAAGTAAAGAAAATTAATTTTAAAAAAATTAATTTTATGAAATAATTAAAATGTAAGCTTTTAAATTGTTAATTGGCACTAAAAATAAAATAATTATCTAATAAAATAAAATTATAAATACAGGTTAATTGAGTATTGAGAAATTTAAATTTAAATTTTCATTATTCTTTATAATTATTTAAATAAAATTCATTGAATAAAAACACTGAATATATTTTGATTAAAAAAGTTAAAACGATAATTTATTTATTCATTGGACTTATACTATCATATGGACATATGTTTTAGGGTCACAAAAACACATGAACGTCAATCCTTTTTTCTAATATAAACTATTAAATAATAAAAAAATAAAATAAAAGTACGTATTACCAGACCTGTGCATGGATACGGATAATATCCGGATATTCTCGGATACATCCGGATACGGATAGTACAATCCGTGCATTCACAGGTCTAATATTACTAATAAATTAAGTCGTAACAAAATAGGGAAAATACATTTAGTATCATTTATCCCTTTAATTAGCCTTTATCAATTATTGAATATACTTTATTAATTACATGGTACCCCACCTCTATTAAATATCCATCAGTGGGGGATTGAGACAATAATTGCCCATCTTCTAATAATTACACCATATTTTTTCTAAATGCCATGAGGTCGCATGAGCGATGTTTGCCCAAAATAAATTTTTACTTCGCTCTTACTAAATACATATTAAAAATTGCTATAAACCTAAAAATTAGAATGATGCCAAGTCATAATTTAAAATTTAAATTTGAAAAATTTTTATTATGAAATTTAAAATTATAATAATTAATAATTTTAAAATAATAAACGAAAAAAATTTAATTTTATAAAATGTAAATTTTAAAGTATCTAAACGAATCTATAAATTTTTAGCCATTAAAGGGACAAATTTAAGGAGATATTTTTAATTGAGACTATATGTATAATGAATGTTTGAAATGTTGATTTAATTTTTTTATTGTTGGAGTTAGGGACACAGACAAGAATTAAAGCTGCGATTCCTGACAGTTATAATATTTTGCTACGTCTCCGAGGTTTCTGGATGGTTGGACTCCAACATCTTGATCAGCAAAGTAATTGCGATTATATATATGACAAGTTTACAATTATTTCTTTTTTCTATTGACTTGGTTTTTTGATTTAAGTAATAAATATACATACATTAATTAGGCCCCATCATTTATTTGATAAAAAGATTTTTAATTATTTTATTTTAAAATTTCCGTTCCACTGTTACATTCAGGCGTTCAAAAACATGTAATGATCAATCTCTCTTTACTAATAAAATTTTCATTTTCCCCATTTTCTTTTTGTTCATCTATCCATTTTTATTTATATATACATATATTTGCTTTGTTATTTTATTCGAGAATAAAATAATTGAATTGACAAATTTTTGTATCATTTCTATTTTTTGAATTTAATTTATTTTTAAAAAAATCATTAAAATTCTAAAAACGATTTTCATCCAATTTTTTATTTCAGTTAGAGCTTCTAAATGGTTTCATAGTTGAGTTTAGTAGTGTAGATTTTCTTTGAATTTTTCCAAGATTACATAAAAAACAGAAAAAAACCTCTGAAAAAATATTTTTTCTAATAAATATTTATTTCAATGTTTTAAAAAAAGAAGGCAAATGTATTCTAGTTAACAGGCTATAATATAATCAGCCTGCGCATAAACTCTTCTTCCTTTTTTTATTGACATTATATCCCACGCATCGTTCACAACATTTTTTATTAAATAAAATATTATATAAAAATATATTTGTTCGTAATATATTTACAAACAAGAATAAATAAATAAATAAATATTTTTTTCTCAAAAAAAAAAGAATTTCTAGTTATTTATTCTCATTATTTTTGTTTCAATTCTTTAATTTATTTTAGGTTTATTTTTAAATTATTTAATTAGTAATTTTAAATTTGATCAGATTTAGGTACATATTATAAATAAGATTACTGAAGATTTTTTATAGTATACGCCTTAGATCTGAAAATATTGTAAATTAAAATAAATTGTGCAATAAATTGTTATACAGGGTGTTTCAACTAAGAAACACTATTTGAAAAAGTTCCACTATAATTAATTAAATATTTTGTACGATTTAATTAAATTAAGTATTCACATCTCATAAACATTTTAAATTGTTCAATTAACTTTTTAATAATTATTCAAATCTAAGATTTTAATTTACATTTTCAAAAAGTATTTTCAAATTTTAATTGTTTTAATTATTAAACGATTTAAATATTGAATTGTTAAAGGGCCGATAATTAATTTTTATTTAAAAAATATTTAAAAAAAATAAATAATAATTACTTAAAAATAATATTAATTTATTATTTATTTTTTAAATTTCCTTCTTTCCATCATATGAGTATTATGTACATCATATTGTTTATTAAATTTTAAATGCACTCATAATTCAGCGAACAACCTAATGCCTTTATGTTTAATAAAATTCTGAGCACATCTTTCATTTTTAAATTTATTGAATGAACTTTTCTATTATTTTACTTTAAAAGGAAATAATTTAATAATTATTAAAAATGTCTAAAACCGATGAAAAAAATATGATGGGTAAGTTTTTAAAATTATTTCTATAAATTTTAAATTAAAAAATCTCCTCGTTTCGACACCTTCGCTAACGTCCTCAAATAATTTTATTAATTTTCTGATAATTGTTAAGGTAATGCTGAAATTAAAATTTATTTCTTTATTGTATAGCTTTCCAATCATTATGTATATTCATTATCAATATAAAGCAATTTATGTATACAAATATTTTATTATTATTTTTAATTAACAAAAATTAGTTTTGCTAATTAAGGAAGATGGGGCGCCACTTCATACATTGTTGGCAACATAATAGGTTCTGGTATATTTATAACACCCACTACAATTTTAAATAATGTTCACTCTGTTGGGGCTTCTCTCTTAATTTGGATATTGGCTGGAATTATAGCTACTTTGGGGGCTTTGTGTTATGTTGAATTAGGTACAAGTATTAGAAAATCTGGCGGTGATTTTGCTTATTTGTGCCATGTTAGATGGTAAAGAATATTTTAAATCTCAATAAAAATTTAAAAACAAAGTTTATCTATTAAAATAGGACAGCTATTGCATTTTCTTTTATGTCCTGTGCTTGTATTTTTACTAATCCGGGGACTATGGCTATACAGATGGAGACGTAAGTGCGTTTTTTTTGTGTTTAAAGTTTGCACAAATATGCTCAAATAATTACCCTGGTTAAGTATTACTTATTACTTTGACCTCTCGATGAGGGGATGATTAAGAGGGGTAAAATTATTTGAGAGTTTGAGAGAGAGAGAATAATTATTCGAGCATTCACAGTATCACACTAACTTTAAGGGACAATTACCATAAACCCGGACTTTTATACACCAAACCCCTTATCTTTCTATCCATCCCTGTCAAGGAGTATAACTAAAAAGAATTAAAGATTAGTCTAGAACAACTTTGTTCTAACCAGATTTTTATTTAAAATATAATTTTTAACTTTAGATTTTCTGAATATGTTATTCAAGGACTTAAGGTAAATTAATTTTATTCTCAAAAATTTTTTTTTTAATTTTAGTTAGAATTTTGTAATTCATCAACACGTTTTATTGTAAATAAACTTATATCATTCAGTCTAATTTGTACATAACCCTTTAATTTCATATCTAAAATATACATATTTTTAAGTACTCCTCTATTTTCTCAATTGTTTCTCTGTTCGAGCTGTTGTAGCTAGATTCCAAATGGTGGCTATGGGAGCTAAAGTTATTGCTAGCGGAATTATTGTAATTTGTGGAATTGTTGTTTGGTTAAGTTTAGGTATAAGGCTTGTATTTAAAAAATAAGTTTAATTATTTAATTTCCAAAAAAAGGTGTCCAATCTGATAATTTCAAGGAACCTTTTGCCCACAGTAATTTTTACCCTGGCAGCGTTGCTTTAGCATTATTCTCCGGTCTTTTTAGCTATGATGGATGGGATATTCTAAATTATGGAGCTGAGGATGTTAAAAAGCCTAGAAGGTTTTTTATTTTAGTAAATGAATTTATTAATAATCTCTTTAATACACACACGGCAATTATGTTTTCCCGTATAGTTATTAAAAGATATTGAGATCCTTGGAAAATCCTTTTGTTGATTTTATTCCGTGAGATATAGAATTTAGGTTTCAATTTATTCTCTGCGGAAAAATTAATAAAGAATATATCCAAAACGTTCAATTTCTGAGTCTCTCTTTAGCAACAAAAACAAACAAAAATTTAATCATTTTCAAGAGTAATGCCTTTTGCTATAATTGTTGGTATGTCTACTTGCGCAGCACTTTATATAACAATGAATTTATCTTATTTTGTTGTTTTATCAGTCCCTGAAGTACAATCTTCTAATGCCGTTGCTATGGCTAGTTTAGTAAAAAATATTTTTACACCAAAATAATTTTAGACTTTTGCCGAGAAAACTTTGGGAAGTCAATTTAAATATGCAATGCCCTTCCTTGTCTGCATTGTCCTTATTGGGTATAATTTAAATAAACTTCCAAAAAATATTTTCTCTGGTCGATTTAAATTTTAAAAATTTTAAAGTTCTTTAAATGCAACTCTTTTTGGCGGAAGTCGCTATCTTTGGGCATCTGCACGTGAAAGGCATTTCCCCTCCTTTATTTCTTGTATAAATAGAGAACATGACAGTCCTAGAGCTGCTCTTTTTGTTCATGTTTGTTTGTACTATTACTTTTAGTATTAGAGTGTTAAAAGTATCAGAATTTATTTCAGATTTAATTCTGAAGCTTATGTATATACCTAATCATTTTAATCAGAAATGATTAAGAATTAATTAGTTACTTAAAAATAGAAAGGAAATTCTGATTAATTCTGCTAAATACATTAATAATTAAACTATAAAATTCTTATATCATGATTTATTCAAAATTTTACTCCAAACTTAAAAAAATATTTATTAGGTTCTGCTTTCTATGGCATTTTCATTTCTTGGGAATTTAGAGGTGATTCGTTTAAAAAATAATTCTAAAAGTAAATTCTTTAATTTAGGAACTAATTAATTATGTTGCCTTCACTCACTGGGTAGTTTTACTTAATTAACAAATCTTTAAATAAAATCTACAAAAAAACCCTAGATAATTCGTTCAATTACAATGCTCAGCCTTTTATGTATCCGATTTAATATTTGTAAACGTCCAGTTCACGAAAAAGCAATTCGTGTTCCTTTAATTTTGCCAATAATATTTTTGATTGTTTGCCTTTCTTTGGTGTCTATAACAATTATACAAAGTTTTAAATCCTCGATTGTTGGACTTTTAATTTTGGCTATCGGATTGGCTATTTATATTTTATTTATTTGGGAAAAGGCTTTTCAAAGATTTGGAGTTTATAGACGTTTATCTAATTATATTAATCGTAAGGAGATTTATTTTTATTAAATAGGCCTGTTTGCGACTTTAGCCATTCGGTAGACTTAAAGAAACAAAGTTACGATTATTTTATCACCTTGCAAGGACCCCCTTGGATCCCAAAAAGGATTTAGCTTCATAATTTTGGTAAAAATCATCAGATCTAGCCGATCATGGTATCATTTAACCAAGCTTGAATTATATATCAAACAAGAAAAGCTCAAAATGCTCAGGAAAACGGGAAAAAAAGGGGGGCGACTTCCCAACTATTACCGCCATTGCTCTAGATTTTTTTAAGTTTTTGGCCTAGCCCCTTCTAAAAATCACAAATTTATCACAAAATTTCAGATGTTACATGTGTTTTAACCCAATTTATATTTAATGGGAATATTGAATTAATTAATCATAAAGAGGAAGAAGATGATTTTGCTTCTTATGATGAAGAGAATTATGATAACATTATGGCAGAAAAAGCACAAAATGAATTAAATTATACTAATGAAATATTGAATGGTGATAGTAATAATAATAGTAGAAGAATAAAGAAAAATTCATCAAAAGTTTATCCTTCCAAAAATTAAATTTAAATAGTTAAAAATTAAAATTATATAAAGTATGAGTTAATGGTAAGGGAATTCTATGCTGATTAAATTAATAAATATTAAATTAATTCCTTCCCCTTCTAATTTGATCAAATCAATTTGATAAATCATGTTTTAAGACATAACTCTTACTATCTTAAAATAAAGTAAAACCTGTCCTTATTATAATTCTAAAATTCAAATAAACTTAAATTCTCAATGAATTCCTTTATTACATAATATTATAATTCCGGTGATTTTTTTTGCATTTTTTCCTATTGTACTCTATATTTTTATTATTAAATTAGAATAATTTCTAATTTCAAAATCAAATCTAAAATAAATTTTTTAAGTTTAAAATTTTTTTGTTAACAAAAACAGACTTGAATAATTAATAATAATAAATCCTCGTTAACATATAAACAAAATATTTGATAAATAAAATTTTTTTATTATTTATATCCCGCTTCAATAATTTTTACACGTAACTTCCCTTAATTATATATTTAGTGCGCATTATGTGGGCCTATAAAATGGTACTTTTAGTAATAACATTAAAAATATTAACAAAATTAGCTGTATTTATTTAGTTTTATTTTGTTCGTCGAGGCAAAATAATTGTTAAAATAAAATGTTAAAAATATTCTTTATTTTTAATATTAAAAACTTTTTATTAATTAATTCTTTAATATTTGGTTTTAATAAATTTATTGTGAAAGGAAATGATAATTCAGATTATCGAGTACATTATTTCAAGGCTCCAGGTATTTACTAAATTCAATTGTAAAAAAGTTTATTCCAAGTTTATAATGGTTGTTAAGAAGGGCATTAATATCACTAACTAAGGAAGTTATCTTTGATGGTGTTGTATTTTTAAGATTTTTTTGTTTATTTGTTTGACCATAACTAAACCGATAAATCAGAGAACTGAAAATTTTTTTGACAACAGAAAGAGTTTAGCAAAAGTTTAACCAACGGATCGGCCTTGGTCACACGATGCAGATGCTCTGGCACTGAGCTACAGGGGATAGTTTTTCCAAATCGTTTAACCCAGCTTAAGCGTTTTAAATGAGTCTAGGCGAATCATCCTTTCAAAACCAGCTGGTGAAAGATCGTATTTAAATTCCTATTCGTACTTAGTTCGACAAACATAATAACGATCCTAGTTTATTTCATCGAGAACTATCCCGAATTAATACATATTAATAGTTTGTCAAGATATGATAAACTTAATAAAAATTTAGATGGTAAATGGCTCTCTCTTCTTAATGTCCAAGTTGTCCTAGAAAACCCTATGGAAAGGAAGGCACATTTTGAAGACGAAGATGTTGTAGACGTTGAACCAATCCCGAGAATAAAATCAAAAAACTATTCGAAAATTAATTTAAATAAAAATGAAGATGAGGATTTTTTTGAAGATTATGATGACGATGATGATTGGACTATAGTGACAGTTCAACTTAAAAAGAAAAAAGCGAGAAAAAAGGCAAATCCGAAAAAAATAATTGAAGAGATGAGGGATACTAATAAAGAGAAGATGGAAGAGGAGGGGAAAATCGAGGATGTTTTTGGGAGGAAGTTGTCAGAAATTGAAGAAAAAGAAGTTAAAAAAGAAGAAAAAATTAAAGCCACGGAGGGGAAGGAAACAAAAAAATATATTGAAGAGAAAGTTGAGAAGAAATTTGTTAAAAAAGGGAAGATGAAGGATGAAAAATATAAGGAGAAAATTAAAAATATCCCTGAATTGCCACTCCTAAAAAGTATTCTGCCTTGGATACCGCATACGTTGAGGAAACATAAACAAAGTTTGTTGTATTTTGAAAAGATATTAAAATATAAATTTAATATTTATAGTTCAAAAAGCTAAGAAAGCCAAGATGCGTTTCACACTGGATAAAACAGTTTCTATAAGTTATAATTTTTTATAAATGTTTTTAATAAGAGATCATAGACATTTTTTATTAGAAAAAGGAAAAAATATTAATTGAATCTTTAAAGATCCTATAAATTAGAACATTTCAGAAAAGAAAACAAAAGAAATAAAGCCAACAACAACATCAACAACTAGTACAACAACAACAACCACCACTACAACAACCACAACTACAACAATGGAAATAATAAATGAAGAGGAGTTGGCTCTCAATTTACAAACTGATTCTCTTTATAGAAATGAATCTATCCTAAGAGATTTATTAAAAAATGAGGTTATTGAAGGTGGTAAATTACTAAATGTTAATAAGTTTATAGTTTGACCTTCTTATTTTAATTTATATTTATTAGTAGTGAATTAAGATTTTGCATTCAATAAATTATATATATTTATTTAAATTTATATTTGGCAAGAGACCCACATTTTTTGTTCTATTATCTAAGTAATTTTTCTACAAACCCCCTCCCATAACGTAAATTTATATTTCTAATTAAAGTATTTACATTTAAGAAAAGGAAGATTTGGGCTCTGAAGCATTCCGTGATTTGGGTGGGAGTTTTATTACTCCTTTGCTTAAGGAGAAAAAATATGATAATAAAAGTATTCCGCTTGTTTTTGCAGGTATTTTAAAATATATTTGGATTTTTATTTGGATTTTTTAATTAAAAATATAGATGAACCTTTGAAGGTTTTTGTTGCTTTGGAAGTTATACATTTAGGGAATTTTGACAATTTTCAAATGGAATATGAATTGGATGTTTTTCTACATATGCAGTGGTATGATGTTAGGTTAGATTATTAATGTTTCTTCTTCCATATTTTTGGATGACAGAAATTAATAACACTCCAGTTAGTAATACATGAGGATAAGCGTTACTAAATGGGCTAGAATCTATTGCTGCTCCGAGTCAGCTCTACTCAGAGCAAGAAAGGGGCTAAGATTTTGATATGCCCGGAGCCGGAACCACAAAACTGGAGCCTCGAAAATTAAATATCCAGCATTGAATTTCCTTGTCTACTAAACTTTTTAAATACCAAATTAAGAGACTTGTCGCCGACAGGCGACTCAATTGTCACCTTTTTCATAGGGTTTTTTCCCTCTCCTAATTTTACTTTATATTTCCTCCCATTCTCTATTTTCTATTTGTTTTTACACGTGTTGTCAGTTTATTCACTATTTCCTTTTCTTCACATTTTATTGTTAACCACGCCCCTTTTATTAGCTAGCTGGTCGGAATAAGCCACACCCAGGCAGACCTGCCAGCCTCTTATTTAAGGCTTTGCCTTTTACTCTATTTTTGGTGTTCCGTTCATTCACAAATTCCTCCCCCAGTCGCGAGTCCATTGTACCCTTTGCCCCTTTCAATATTTTATTTGTGCGCTTATTATTTTGGTTGAAATAAACTTATATTTGTTTGTCGCTTTTTGATTGTCGTCTCTTCATTAGTTGACTCCCCATTAGTCGACTATCAATTAGTCGACTCCTCTTTAGTCGACTATCAATTAGTCGACTGCA